AAAATATTCTGATACAAACTTATGGCTCAGCACTGAGGTAATTGTGTCCTCTTTAGATAGTTAATTTGCTTGCTTTAGAGATGTACTATTTAGATAGCTAATTTGTTTGCTTAAGAGATGGAATAACGTTTATTAAATTCATATTTAATGCAGTTAATAATTTTATTGCAGGTGCTTGAAAGTTTCTTTGATATTTTGAATCGCAAATTCAAAGATTCTTATTTCTACAGCGTCTTGCATGCCGTATGTTAAATCTAACTGTCATCATGTATTTCCGTGGTAATGTACATAGTCCATGTAAAGTAACTTCATTTCTTTGGTTCTAGATGTGTAGTATCGACAATTTTCCTTCATAGGAGATAGATTTTCAAAAATTACACAAACATAAGGAAAACCACAGAAAGGTAAGGAAAATAGACAAAATCTATGACACCAATGCTAAAGCATGAGTATAACTTCAGTTGTTTTTGTTTCATTAAGATTTTTCTTCCAATGCTAGTTGAGAATCACTTCTTTGGAGCATGTGTTGACCTGGAAAAGAAGAGTATTCACATTTTTATTCCATGTTTACATGCGTGGAAGATTATAAGCCATTGATTTTTTTGTTGGTGTGTATTCAATTATCTATTCAAGTACGAATTATTTGAAATACTCAAACTAACATTATATTTTCAGATTCAATTATTGGATAACTCTATTAATGCTTTCCAATTCAAAATAATCACGATTGGAAATAATCCATGCCAGTCTGATACTTCAAGTTGTGGAGTTTTTCTTTGCAAGTACTTTGAGTTTTATGCAAGGGGAGAAAAAATTTCTTTTGATCAGGTTAGTAGTGAAATCTCATTTATATTCTTCAAGAAGTATCTTTGTGGACACTTTCTTAGTAGTAATTTCTTTAAATTGGGTTTTCTTTTCCAGAGTAATGTTCAAATAGCACGATTCATCTTGTTATTTGAAGTGCAGAAGGAACAAATACTCACAAGTGTAGATGTGCTGGGGATAAACACAGGTAAAAAAAGCTTCTTATTTTGGATTTGAATGGTATTATGGCTGAAGTAATTACAGTTAATGATAAATCACCAATAATAGGTAACAAATATTTTCTTTTTAATTATTAAGATGTCGTTCCCTCTTCTCCGGATCATGGCATTTGCAGCTCTCCTGCGGATGTCGATAGAACTGTTGTTGCTGCCTCCTCTCAAGATATATCTTCTCCTTTGGGTAATCGTACTTGCGACTCCCAAGTGGATGCTTGCAAAGATGCCTCTCCTACGGGTGTTGGTGTTCCCTTTTCTCCGGATCATGGCATTTGCGCCTCTCCTGCGGATGTAGATAGAATTGTTGTTGCTGCCTCCTTTCAAGATACATCTTCTCCTTTGGATAATCGTACTTGCGACTCCCAAGTGGATGCCTCTCCTGCGGATGTCGATAGAAGTTGTTGCCTCCTCTCAGGATACATTTTCTTCTTTAGATAATCATACTTGCGACTCCCAAGTGGATGCTTGCAAAGATGCCTCTCCTACGGGTGTCGGTGTTCCCTCTTCTCCGAATCATGGCATTTGCGCCTCTCCTGCGGATGTAGATAGAACTGTTGTTGTTGCCTCCTTTCAAGATACATCTTCTCCTTTTGATAAGCGTACTTGCGACTCCCAAGTGAATGCTTGCAAAGATGCCTCTCCTACGGGTGCCGGTGCCGTACCCTCTTCTTTGGATCGTGGCATTGTTGTTTCCTCTTCTCTGGATCATGGCATTTGCGCCTCTCCTACTATGGATAACCACAAACGTGGAAGCTCTTCTCCTCGGGATGATTGACTTGCGAAGATGGTGCCACTGAACAACCTAGGCACTCAAAACGAACTAGAAGGTTACCAACATTCTATCATGATTTTTTATTGTAGAAGAAACCGCAAAGAGGCCCTAAGAAAAATTGAAGCAATTGGATTTCCCTGGAACTCTTATTATATTTTAATATAATTTATAAATGTTATTAAAATTTATAGTAATATTGAATTTAATAGCGATTAACTAATGTCAATAAAGACTTTAACATTTTTTTGTTAACTATGTGCATATTTTTTGGTACTAAAAATGGTTTTGTTGTAATGAAACCAACTTTACTCATTTTATTAGATCAAGCTTAGCTTAACAGATGTGCTTTCCAGCTAGCTATGAAACTATGAAATTAAAAAAAATTAGATATAATAATTGAATAATAAATTTAATTTCAACAACAATTAAAACCTTACACTTCTTGTTATCTTTTAGATTGTCCCATGTTTAGTTAATAGCATGGTACATGGTCACGTTTTGAGTGGGTTTGAACGACTTTATAATATTTTCTCATACTTTATATTTGCAAGTAAAGAAATTTTGGGGTGCCTGAATAGTCAAAATTTAATTGAACTTTTGGGTGCCAACTGAATCAAAGTGAGTCTTTAATAATAATGTATGTCTTTATTGTTAGCAAATTAATTAAGAAAAAAAAAGTAAAGAGAAATTAGATTTGTGCAATTTAATAAGGGGGAATTGTATGAAATAGCAAACTATTAATTCAAACTAAATGATATAGCCATAGTTTATTTTAATTGTAATTCGCAGCAAACATACACTTTTTTTGTCATCTGATTCGGTATACAATTAGCCATTTTCTATTTACAATTAGTTATTTTATACATTTCGGTATAAAATGTATAAAATGAGTTTGTGTTTGTATAAAGCGAGAGAAAAGTGTATATACAAATATAAATACATATATTTTCATCTTATACACTTATAATTATACAAATAGATATCTTATTATACAAATTACAATGTATAAATGAATTTATACAAAACTAAACAATTTGTATAAAATTGGATGTTTGTAGCGAATTATACAAATCAAAAACTACATAGCAAATATAAAATTTGTTATGGAGCGCAATGATGCAAACTATAGCTACAACATACAAATATAATTTTTATATTTGCTATATCTGAAAGTTGCTCAATTTAATAATGACCACTTTTCTGTATCCCTCTTTCCCGAGGCCAAAAGAAGCTGAATTTTCTTTTGTGTTGGGTATGGCTTTTGCTTCTAGAGTGGCTTTCTCTTCTGAGTTTATTTATAGAAGTCTTACAATTTGTAGTACTTTTTTTTTACGTAAGTGGGCAATAATAATCATAAATAAAGCTGCCTAATTTTATGCATGCACACTTTTTATAAAAGAAAAGTAATTCTTGGGGTATTCGAGATTCAAATTAAATAGGTTCAATTGTTATCAAATGTACTTCTATATTATAAGTTCAAATTTAAAAATTGAAACATTTATTAGTGATTTTTTAATTCTAAATTATTGAAGAGTAAATTGAGTTGTATTTGATCAGGTTAAAATGGACCTAGTTATTTTTGGACCTCTGATGTAAATAACCATTGTACATTCAAATTATAAAACCTATAAAAGCCAAAGTCTAAACTTGTAATTATAAAATTATATTATTGTATTTAGTGAAGGATGTAATTACAAGGAGCTTTCTATTGTCAATCAATTTGATCGATTAAATTTCTTAAGCACCTGTTTAAAATCATTAATTAAGTTCTTCGTTAGAATGTCCGGGTGAAATTGGATAAACTTGAAAAGAACAATCGATCATAGCTCTAATGATTATTAGAATAAATTTTAATCATTGGCCTCATTTTAGGTGATTGACATGTAAATAATAGAGGTGTAAATGAAATTACTAGGCCATAATGAAGCCACGTCGATTTTTCTCATATGAAGGGTTACTTGCCCATGATTAATTCCACACTCGTACGCTATTGAAATTAATTGAGCCAAGGCAGCACACTCATCTCTCTTATGAAACTTGTGGAATTCTTGTAGGATTTGTTTAATCAGATAATACTTTCTTTAATGACTTTTCATATTTAATATTATAAGAATTAATTTGATTAAATTAAATTTTAAATATTCAAAATTAACTATACGAAGAATACTAAAAATAAGGGATAAGGGTTTGAAAAATACCCAATTTTGGTCGGATTTGCTGTTGCGATACTAAGCTTTCATAAGGACCTATTACCTCCCTAGACTATTTAATACCGTATTTTTTACCCCCTGAACTATTTAATAGTGTATTTTAAAGGTATATATGTGTCACGTGGACACATTACTATTTATATTTTTGCATTATTTTTTATGTCCACGTGGGCAAATATATATGTTTAAAATACGGTATTAAATAGTCTAGAGAGGTAATAGGTCCTCATGAAAGTTTAGTATCGCAACAGTAAATCTGATCAAAATTGAGATATTTTTCAGACCCTTCTTCCTAAAATTAACGATCATTGATCTCAATTTAAAATCGTGAAGTACAATACTGCCATATACAATCTCAGAAAATGTGTTAATTAATGTAAAAGCTGGAGACCTTTAAATTTGGCCTATTCATCCTCATCTTTCTCACAATTATTATTGTACCATAGAATGGATTAGGATTTAGGACACACATAATTATTATATCCACTACTCAATACTAAAGATGCAATTTCTCTTTTTAAAATTGTTTGATGTGTTTTGTTTAACTTACATTTCAAACTCCTTCCTCTATGATTGAGTACCTCAAGCCCTTTTTTTTCCACTTACCTTCTTTAGTCTCTCTCTTCCTTTTCCTTTCACCATAAAGTATGTTTGCTATTAAGAAAATAATATAGTAAAATTTGCAATTAATTCATGTGAAAGGAGAGGGAGAAAAATCTTTGAAAGTGACTTAAAAGGACTCTGGATCTAGAAAATCAGCTCCTCTAATAATTGAAGCAATATAATATTGAATCTCAAGTCGTCGTAATATACGTGGTCTATTCCGTGCCTAAATGTACGTATCAATTATAAAAATTTAAGAATATACTAATTAGAATACTTCACTGCGTCCTCTTCCTCTTTAGGAAAAGCCCCCTATATATATATACCACTCACTCATTGCTTCTCATAAAACCACACCAACTCCATCTCCTCTCTTTTAGCTTTCATCAATAATTGTCTCTCCTTCTTGTGAACCAACAAAAACTCACAATCACTAAATAAAAAAAGTCCTGAATTTTTAGACAGAGAAATGGATCAAAAATTGCCCGTTGTAGCTAAAAAGTTCTACAAGATAGTCCGTGTGGCTTACTTCATGCTAAGAAATGGATTATCATCAAAGAGAAAACTAATGTTCGATCTCAATTTACTAATGAAACGTGGTAAGATTGCTGGCAAAGCCGTCTTCCAAAATCTGATGTTCCAGGGCCATAATAATATTAATCATGGCCATCAATCATCGTCAAAAGAGTATTACGAGTTCAGCTGCAGTAACAGTCCAGCTTTCCATCTCCCCTTCCACATCAACAAGCGCATTAATAAGCATAATCAGACTGAACACGACGACGTTTCAATGATGAACGCTGCTGTTTTGAAGGCATTAGAAATGCTTCAGAGCGAAACAGCATCACCTGCTTTGCCTGGATTTGGAAGGACTCCAACGGTGAGGCAATTAAGAATCACTGACTCGCCTTTTCCTCTAACATCAGATACTGATAACGGTGAAATGATCAACCACGTAAACGAAAAAGCTGATGAATTCATTTCTCGATTCTACAGAGATTTGAGAAGAGAAGCTTCCACCTTTGCTTAGTTTTTTTGTTGTTGTGATATTCCAGAATTTCTTAGAGGAGAAACTCGAAAAAATAAAATAAATTTTGAGTTTATAAAGGTGATGATAATTTGTAATTTCATCCCATAATTAATACATTCAAGGCTGTGAGTAGTCCTGAAATTTTGCATTCACATTAATTCACTCTCAATTTAAGAGGAGTAAAATGCTAAATTAGAATTCCTTTAAAAGTTAAAATAAAGCCTATTATATTAAACGCGGTTAGCACAAATTAGAAAGTTAAGTTTATTCCTTCTCCAAGATAAAATCTAATCTAAAATTCTTAATTGAATCGGAGTTAATTAAACGTTACCCGCCTATCAAACCTACCTTAATGGGAGTTTGGATTATTTTTTCGTTTCATGTAAAACAAAATTTTCTTTTTTTGGAATTTCACAGTATCAAACCCTCAATTTTAGCTTAAGTTGTTAATTTGGTCTAAATACATATTTGGATTCTTGCACCATGTCAAAGAGAAAATTTTTAAAATATCCCACTTTTGACCATATAGGTAAAAAATGACACTGGGAAGTTTCAGATTTCACTTATGATTTTCATGGCAATATTTGCAAAAATTATTCTAGCCAGAGAATTGCCGCAATTGGCTAATGACAGAAGCAAAACCATCCGTACATCGTATATAAGAGAAAACGTTTATATAATGTTTAACAGAAAGCTCATCAAAAAATTTCGTTGACGAAATCTGTCCAAGACTAACGAAATCGAATGAGCAAAATTCTTGACTCATCTCAATAGATTCAGAATCCATATGTTTCTCTGAATAATCATAATTTATTTTAATGAACCGTGAAGCATATATTTGTTTTAATGATTGTGATATTGAAAACCTACTTAATAGTTGATTTCTTTTAAATTTTGATAATAATTTGTTTCATATTCAATATTCAAGTAAAAAATTTGCAATACTTTTTAGAGTTAGAACTTAAAACTGATTCTAAAATATTCAAAACTATCGAGGTAAATATAATGTCATCTAATTTGAACAAACGCCAAAATAAGAAACAATAATACACTGTCTCAATGCAAGTTACAAGTTGATACTCTTGCTTGCATTTTTTCTAAGGTGCTCTTGTGGATTTTTGGATGTTAGCTTTTAGTGTAAATTTTTGTTATGCATGTTTAAATTTTATGTATTATTATTTTAATAAAATTAGTGATCTAAAATCAAATTTTAGTATAGTAGGTATATAGACATATATATATATATATATATATATATATATATATATATATATATATAAAATAAAATTGGTATTACCTTTTCGTGGTTTTCCATAGTTATGATTTTTAGTGTAGTATTAATCTATGATAATATTTTACATGGTAAAATTATTACTTATAAAATAAAGAATAATTTAATTAATAACACGATATTAGTCATGTGTTCTCAATATAATACTTGAATATTATTATAAAAACATTATTTATTATTATGAAAATTTGAGTAATTTAATTTAAAATTTTAAAATATTTCGATATACATAGTTTTCCTTTTTTTAATTTAGATTTTGTACTTGTTATTTTACAATCATTAATATTATCAAAGAAAAATTAACTTCACAAACTTAACTATTAAATTTTTTAAAGCTCTCAAAATGTAGATGTCCTAAAGAAAAGTTTCCCTTATATTTGTCTAGTATGTTTTTTTTATCTCTTATAAAAAACTATTATTTGCATTTTAGATGGTTGATTTTTGTTGTTTCAACTCATCAAACTCTATTGCATATTTATCTACGTATTTGCTGGAAAATGTTTTGTTGAAACTATGTGGGTTAGAATACTCGTAGTTGAAAAAGTGAGGGACTTAATAACACATTGTTATTATTTTCTCAAACTTTATTTGCAAGTATATAGAACTCATGGGTTGCTTGAATATTCAAAACTTAATTGAAATTTTGGGAGCCAATAGTGAATCAAAGAAATTCTTAAGAGTATAATATATGTTTTATCATTAGAAAATTAATTAAGAAAAATAATTGTAAAGACAAATTTAATTTGCGGAATTTAGGTAAGATTATAATAATTGACCACTTCTTTTGTATCCCTCTTTCTTCCAGCAAAAGTAGCTGAATTTTCTTTTGTGTTGGGTATGGCTTTTGCTTTTGCTTTTGGAGTTGCTTTCTATTTTTTGTTTATTTATAAGTTCTATAATTTGCTCCATGCCCAAATGTGTCAAACTTTAAAACTTTCACATAAAGAATACATTAAAAGCTGTGAGCTAGTAGCTAGTAGTCCTGAAATACAAAAAATTTCTCTTAGTTTGATTGTTGTGTTCTTGTTACGTTTTTTTTTGAATTGAAAATAAGAAAAGCAAAAAAGAGAAATTAGAAATAATTATAAGTTGAAGTAAAGCATAGTGTATTTCCATCGAGTCCAAGAGCAAATGTGATTATAAGAGTAGTTCAACGTTATGGTCACATGACAAATTATATGCATTCTAGAAAAATATCATATCAAATATTCAAATTATTGGACTAATTTGCTTTGATCAATTAAGTTACGTAAGCACTTGCTTAATATCATTAATTAAGTTTCGTGTTGCGCTTAAGGTGACTGCTCGGATGCAAAAAGAACAAATCAGTCATAGCTTAATGATTTATAGAAGGAATTTTAATTATTGGCCCCATTTTAGTAGATTGACATGTAAATAATAGAGGTGTAATTAGAATTATTATATGAAGACACGTGGGTTTTCCTCCGGGATGGGTGACTTGCTTCATCTCTCTTAATGTACATTTGTATGATATTTTGTCGTTTATTTTTATTTGTTATATTTCACTTAATGAGAATTAATATAATTAATTTTGAAGTTAAATTAAATTATATTAATACAATATTTTGAATGTTCGAAAACTACAAGAAATGATAAAAATGAACCGAGGAGTTTTCAAACTGTTAATTAATGTAAAAGCTAGAGACCTTTTAATATGTAACATCTTGCATATTCATCCTCATCTTTCTTTAACAATTATTGTTGTACCATAGAATGGATTTGAAGACACATAATTATATCCTCTGCTCACACTGAATATGCAGTTATTTTTAGAAATTGTTTGTTACATTTCAAACGCCTTCTTCAATGATTTGAATGTCACATTTGGAGAACTGTACCTTCAAGCCCCACCACCCCCTTTTTTTCCTTTACCCCTTTTTCCTTGCAGACCATAAAAACTTAAAAGAGTGTGTTTGGTATTAAGAAAATAATATAGTGGTTACTTGCTATTGGCCTCAAATTTGCAATTAATTCACGTGAAAAGCATGGGTGACAGTGACTTTAAAGACTACTTCCTCCTCTAATAATTGAAGCAATAGTATATTGAATCTCAACAAGTAATATACGTGGTCTATTCCGTGCCCAAAGGTGTCTACTTAAAAATATATAGAATACTTCACTGCGTCCTTTTCCTCTGTATGAAAATCCCCCTATATATACCATTCAATCAATGCTTCTCATAATCCACAATAACAAACAACTCTCCTCTAAAGTTCTCTCTTGGCTTTCATCAATATTTGTCTCTCCTTCTCAAGTTAACCAACACAAACTCACAATTCAAAAAAAAAAAAAAAAAGTTCTCCCGAACGTGAAAATGGATCAAAAAATATTGCCAGTTATAGGGAAAAAGTTCTGGAAAATAGTTCGTGTGGCTTATTTCATGTTGAGAAAAGGATTATCATCAAAGAGGAAACTAATGTTCGATCTTAACTTATTAATGAAACGTGGTAAGATTGCTGGAAAGGCCGCGTTCCAAAATCTGATGTTTCAGGGCCATAATAATAATAATATTCATCAATCGATTTCAAAAGAGTATTACGAGTTCAGCTGCAGTAACAGCCCAGCTTTTCACCTCCCCTTCAACATGAACAAGCGCATTAGTAAGCATAGTCAGCCTGAGCATGGCATTGAATACGACGACGTTTCAATGATGAACGCTGCCGTTTTGAAGGCATTAGAAATGCTTCAGAGCGAAACAGCATCACCTGCTTTGCCTGGATTCGGAAGGACTCCAACGGTGAGGCAATTAAGGATCACTGATTCGCCTTTTCCATTAAGAGAAGTTGATAACGGTGACATGATTAGCCACGTTGATGAGAAAGCTGATGAATTCATTTCTCGATTCTACAGAGATTTGAGAAGAGAAGCTTCTGCTTTTGCTTAGTGTTTAACTTTTTTTTTTCCTTGTTGGGGTATTCCGGAAATTTTTAGAAAAAGTTGAATGTTATGAGTTTATAAATGTGATGATACCCTCCTTTAGTTAATTTGTTTCATCCTATAATTAATACATTCAAGGGCTCTGAGTAGCCTGAAATTTTGCATCCACAAAAATTCTCTTAATTTGATTGTCAACTATTAGTTACTACACGTAGCTTCTTTTTTTCTTCTTCTTCGGAATAGAAAAGCAAAAAGTAATTATTACAAGTTAAAGTTAAGAATATTATATTGAACAAGGTTAGCAAGCTAAGTTAAACTTTATTCCTTCCTTCGAGTCAAAGAGAAATGTTATTGCATGACTATGGTAGAAACTGAAATTTTATTGATAAATATATGAGTATTAATTTTTGGATTAATTCATTCATGATATGTTGATCAAGTCAAATTATTGATTAATAAAGTTAGATTAATATTTAAGTAAAAGTATAGCATGACTTAAATAAAGTTTCAGTTACATTTTCGTCAGTCCATTAAGTTGACAATACGATCCCAACTTATGCTCTTCAAGCCCAAGGTCCTAGAAAATTATTTGAAGATCGAAATACCCCAAAAACCATAGCTCACAACTATATAAAAGGGTCTTCATAAGACCAAAAAGGGAGGAACAAGAAGACATAAATACATAGAGAATCATTGCTCTTCAGTGGTGATTTGCAAGTTTTCTGCATACGAAGAAGCCTTCGCTCCAAGTGTTGACCCGCAAGTATTCCATCAATCAAGAACAATCGTGAAGAGAAGAATAAGGGAATTACGTATCTTTTCTTAAAGAATTCATAAAGATTGTAGCCTTCAGATAAATTCAAAATAAATATTGTTGTTTGATTGCTATGTTGATGTATTTTAGGATTGAAACTTTAGACACATACCTAAATCAATTGACTACATAGATTCACCTAGCTAACTAAAGTTAAGTTCCATTTAAAACGAATAATTTCTTCAAACTTCAATTAGATAGTATCACACATTTCCTTTTCACAATTTTATGACCTTTTAGATCATGATCTAAAGATTCTTTTTAAATAAACTGGATTTTTTATAGAGGTTAAATGACAATCTAATAGATTTTCAACCCCAAATGCTAGATTTATATAACTATGAAAGTGGGGATAAAATATAACTAATAATGATCTAAAGATAAACATTTTCGTAAAGCATTCAAAATAAATAAACAATGTTGTAATTCGATCTTCTTATGTTTTAGAAAAATATCCATATCGTGAAAAAATTGAATTTCAGATAGTGACTATTTTTCAATTCTGCTGAAATGTGGTTTTGAATGAATTTTGGCTAAAGCAATTCTGTCAATTTCCCTAAAGCATTACCGTCTTATGTTCATAATGAAATATGTTACATTACTTTCCCTATTACTCCTCCTCCGTTTCAACTTTTTAATTGACATATTTAAACGACCAAAAAATATTTGATTATATTTGACATATTTTAAATTTAAAAACACAAAATTTTCAACTTTCTAATTGGCATATTTAAACCACAAGACTAAAAAATGTTTTAGTATATTTAATATATTTTAAATTTAAAATCATAAATTTCAACAATCTTTTTCATTTTCTAAAACTTTGTGTCAAATCAAAATATATAGAACAAAACTATGAAACGGTGGGAGTAACTTTTACTATTATTTATTGTAGTGCTTTGTAAAGGAAATCTTTTGCTTTTTAGGTTGGTCATTTACCTGGAAACCTCCCCAGGCAGATACATATACACTACTTTATTGATTTCTTTATATATTTTGAGAGGAATTGATGAATTGTGGTGCTTAATACTAAAGTAAAGCTGTCAATTTATGCCTTTTGAGACCTTATTTTGAAATATTCAAAACCTTCTAGTGGCAAATGTGCCATCTAACTTGGACAAATACCAAAAACATAAACCCGATTAATGCTATTTAAATGTATGGTAATCAAATTTGAACGAAACATTGATCAAAGATATTATCATATTTTAGAGAAAGTGAATTTAAGAAACTTACAAAGTATTGTGGTTTCTTGCGGACAAGATCTATTAATATCTTTAAAACAAGATTTTTTTACAGATCCAAAGGTGCTAAATGAACTAATTGGACTGAGTGTGAACAAATCATGATGGATTGAGTTAATAAATAGACGAGTTATTGACTCATTCAAAAGTACTCTAAGAGAATAATGAATCAAAATTCAACTATCTCAATTCTTACTAAATTTTAATTTCATTAATATTTAACAAGTATCAATTTGAAAAGTTAAAATAAAATAAAATATTAAGAACATTAAATATTAAGTCCCTCGATATATAATCTCGAATCCGCATTTGCCGACAAATTATTGTAGGGAAAATTAGCAAACTAGTCACAATCCCTAATATAATTAGTAAAAACATCTACACTTTAAAAATAATTATTAAAAATGTCAAAATATCCATATTTTAGAAAATGATTGTATCATAATATAACTATTTTCCTTTCCTTTTATTTCTCAAAACAGTCCCACATTGGATCATTTTTTACACCACTAACCGGTAAAAAAAAATATATATCTTTATTAACCATTACCCTTCTTTCTAGGTTTTAACTCAAGTCAATATTCTCTCTCTCTTTACGTTTTCCCAATTTTTCTCTCATTCATTGTTCAAGAAAAATTAACTCTTCCTTTTTCTCCCAATTTGTTCAATAAATCTATCAATTATTTCAAGAAATCTCTCAATTGATAAAGGTAATTTCGAAGTCACCAAATATTTTGTGAGTTTTCTTCTGATTTTGTTTTCATATTCACCAAATATTTTTGATTTCGGATTTTATGTATTTCTGATTTTCTGTCCTCTTTTCGGTTTTTTGTGAGTTTGTTTACATATTTGAGATTCAGTAGATTGTAGTAATATACATTAGCATTCATACATCATATATTGTTTGATTTTTTATACATTCATATTTAATAATTTCAATTTTTTCTTATAGGGTTACCAATGCACAATTGAATACGGATTCGAATTTAGATTTGGTGAAAACAAAATCGGAAAAAAAGGAACATAGCAGAAGAAGAAAGAGAGAGTCAAGTTGCAAAATTGTATTCACAACAGAATTGTATTCATATTAATTTTTGTTTGTTAATTGTTTTTTTTTTACTAAACATTTGTAAGAAATACATTTTTTGTCATGAAATACAATATTTTTTGAAATACAAATTTTGATTGTTACTAAAATTGTAAATTTGTATGTTTTGATGATTGGAATACAAATTTGTTAGAATTTTAAGAAAGAATATACGTTTTTGAAAAATATACAAAACCAATGTTGTATTTTTTCTGAATGAACACATATTACATAAGTATATATGAATACAAATATTTTATTTATATTTTTATTTGTGGATATAAATATCATTCTAAATAACTACAAATCCATTTGGTATACCTATTAGAATGAATACAAACTAATAAAGAAATACAAATGTCATTATACAAATTCAAACATGAAAACCATAATGAATACAAATACACATATCATCATATTGGAATGAATACAATCAATTACTTTTGAAATTGTAACTGATGAGAACTTTAAGTGATATGTTTCTTTTTAAAAAATATTTTCTCTCATGATTTTCTCCTTTCTGTTATTAAATAATTATATTCTTTCAACTCAAACAAATAAGAAAAATACATAAATAAAAAAAATAACAAATTAAAATATTGACATTTTTAATAAATATTAAAAATATTAATAAGAGGTTCCATTAAATACTAAAATATTGACATTTTAAAAATTTTCCTATTATTGTATCGTAAAAGATGTTAGTACTAAGTACTAACATTTTCTTTTTTCCCATACACGTAAAGCAGTCAAACTTTATTAAAAGCAAATAAAACGACGTCCCTTTTAATAAACACTTGTCAAACTTTGAACTGCTTTTCAAACCTCTGAAAACGCTTCAACGTTGTCATTTAAATTCATCATAATTTCCTTCTATATCTTAGGGTTTTTTTTTCTGAAATAGACTAATTTAAAACTTGGGTTGATACAATCCAAATTAATCAACAAGAATTAAAAAAATTATTATGTATTTAAACAAATTATAAAAAATGAAATGAAGAATTTAAAACTTAATAAGAGTTGGGGAAGGATGAGTAGTGAACCAAGTTTTAGCTTATTTCAACTCAAAGTCATTTATTAACCCAATTCATTTGAATTCGTATAAATTCAACCCAACCTCACTTACAGATTGTTTGGATGGTTGTTAGCCTTTGTATTATATTGTATTGTTAGTTTAACTATCACGTTTCTTTTGATTGTTACTTAAATTTCATTGTATCATATTGTATCGTTTAAATCATCGTTAGGTAACGACAAAAAGACTTACAGAACGATCAATTTGGTGTGATCGCGTCGTTACCTTAATATTTTCTTTTCATTTTGTCCTTCATTTATTATTTCATAATCATATTTCACCTTTTATCCTATATTTTCATAGTTACCCAACTTTTTTATAGGTTTATCATTTAAATTATGAATGTGTGATATTATGTAACGATGAGAATGATACAATCTATCCAAATATTGTATTTATTAAAACAATACAGTAAGATACAATATAACACAATATGATACATTATAAAACAATACGTAATAAATTTAACATCGCTAGTATCCGCTGAAGGAGGCATTTACCAACAAGGACTTAGGACCATATTAAGATATGAAAAGATATATTATACGAAAGGAAAAACATACATGTTTCCAGATAGTGCAGTAGAATAGATATTTTAAAAGTTGTTAATTATCCTAAAACAAGTGCCCACAGAAAAATAATAATAATAGTACGTACCTCTTGGCTTTTATTCGTGGTCCATTTCTGGCCACAGTACGTAGGTGCATTATGGACTTTATATTGCACAAAATTTTCTTAAAACCATGAGTAGGGAAGGTACAATATCAAAGTGTTCATCTCTTTCTTGCCAAGACTTGCCCATACGTAAACTCCCTTTTTGAAAAATAATAAAGTAGCCTACTATTACTTTTTTATTTTGGAAGGTTTGCAATAAAAATTATCACAAGACTTATGAAAACTTTAAACAGAAAGTAATTCCAATACCTAAAGCTACCCTCCATATACAAC